GATAGATAGACAGACAGACAGACAGACAGACAGACAGACAGACAGACAGACAGACAGACAGACAGACAGACAGACAGACAGACAGACAGACAGACAGACAGACAGATAGATAGATAGATAGATAGATAGATAGATAGATATCATATTTCACTGGATAAGTATTATAAACAAACGGTGGGTGTTGGACTTCAACGGTGTCCAAAAGTCAGTTCAGTCTGTAACCTGACCACTAAAACACTCATGACTGTAATTTTTAGTTTAGTTATTTAAATTGTTCCTTGATTGTTATTTGTCTTAACAGCAGTTGTGTGAGTTAAACAACAGAGGAGGGAGTGAAGGTGTCAGACTGTCTCTAATGATTATTATCTGATGTGGCTGCTGGACCGCTCAGTCTCTTCATCCTGTCCCCCTCAGACACAATGGGACCAGAATTAGGGAAGGCGGGTGTGGGAGGTCACACAGCTTCTAACTACCTGTCATTCATTGCTACTCTTCACTGTGGGTGTCAGGAAGATCCATCCATTATCTTTACCCGCTTCTTCCATTTTGGGTCACAGGGGTCGCCGGTGCCCATGTCTAGCAATCACAGTGCGAGGAGTGGGGTCCATCACAGGGACACATAGAGACAAACGAGACAAACAACCATTCACTCTCTCACTCTCACCTAGAGACAATTTAGAGTCACCAATCAGCCTAACATGCATGTTTTTGGTCTGTGGGAGGAAACCCACGCATGCACGGAGAGAACATGCAAACTCCACCCAGAAAGGCCGCCGGACCGAGATTTGAACCAGGGACCTGCTCGCTGAGAGGCAGCAGCTCTACCAGTTGCACCACCGTGCTGCCGTCAGGAAGATCGTTTTGTAAAAATGCACTCTTTCCTCCATCACTTCAATGTAAACCCACATCAAACACTGACTACAGCAGGAGACAAATAAAGTTCTTAATTGGAGATAAAAGCAGAGAAAGTTAGCTAAAGTTGCTTTTAGGAATCGCACAAAACTATCAAAGGCTTTTTATTTATTTCCAGTTGAAGTCTGAAGGTTTAAAGCTGCTGCTTGCTCAGTCACCAGGGAGAGGGAAAACTGCTGCCTTTCATCTTTAATTTCTTTTGTACGTTCTGACCCAGTAAAAAATATATGAACTTATCTGTGCACCGTGCACACAGCGTAACGAGAGGCGGACTTATTTGGAGCAGGAAGTGAACTATTTCTTTTGAAATGGGGTAAAGTCAGTTTGATATTCTATTAGGAAAGACAAAGCTGCTCCCTGAGGTGCCCTGCAGTTACACCCTCGGAGGGGAGTGGGGGGGAAGACAAGTGGCAAGACAGAAAGGAAGAGAAGAAACAAAAATAGGAGGGCTGTCCCTGAAGGGGACTCCATGGCTGAGCCAAGATCAGTTATGCCTTCCATCTACAGACAATTAGGAGGTTGGGAAAGCTGGAGAGGGTAAACTGTTCTCAGATCTGTGCTTTGGGTGCCATGTTAACAAGGAAGCACTGGAGAGATGTTCGGTGTGTGGGAGACCCTTCTAATGGGCCCCCCTGAGGAAACACCCCACAGCTAACGTGGCTTTTTTGCACACATGCAGAGAGAACAGGCTGTCTTCACCTCGGTGCTGAATTCCAAGGTGTGTGTGTGTGTGTGTGTGTGTGGGGGGGGGGGGGGTTACCTCTTTTTCTTTGAAGGTGACACACACACCGTCCTTTGGAACATTTTTTGCCATAATTGTGATGATGACTTGAGATTCTGTTTGATACCAGTCGCGCCTGAAAACAACAACAAACATGAATTCATAACATAAAACACGTATTTTATTCCCACAATTAAGTTGACACTTTAAATATTCATGCAGCCCAGAATATAAAATGTGTTTGTGTCTTTATAATAATATCAAATGCTTTAGAAGTGCTTAGGCTTGGTTCATTTTCATACTTTGTGAACTTACTTTGCAGGCGGAGCTGCTGATGTCTGCAGGGTCGTTCCGCAGCAGAGGAGGGACGACAATTAAGGGAGACATGGCGACAAACGAGAAGAGAGAAAACATTCAAAAGAGGCCTGATGAGAAGGACTGTGTGATACTGAGAGCAACACCGCCCCCAAGTGGCCTTGCAAAGAAACCCACCGTGTTAACGTCACTGTTCTGAGTCTGATCTGCAAAAGAAGAAAACAAAACTCTCTTTAACCCAGTCCTTCTCAAATGGTGAGGTGCGGAGCAATGCGCGCGGGGGGGGGGGCGGCATGTGACCCCGAGGAACATTTTGCGGCAGGGAGTAGTTTTATTTATTTATTAATTTTTTTTTTTTTTTTTGCACCATTCTCATTTTGTCAGGGTGCGTTTGGCAGCTGTTTGCTAAAATCCGGCAATTCTCAGTCTTAATAATAATCAAGTTATGAACAAATATGTCTGTCTTGTAGTTTGGGGAGCCATGCTTGAACTGTGTCGCTTCCCTCTGCTGCTGAGCAGCTGGTGATGCACCTGCCCTCGTCATCTTTAACTTTTTTTTGGTTTGTCAAAGCACAATTTTGATGTTTTTTAATACAGAAGTAATGGTTAATAAATGTTAGGACTCTGTTCTTTGCTAACAAAATATATTTTATGTCATTAAAAAACTTGTCAGGTTCTTCTCTTGTGAGCGCGTTCCCCTGGACACACATACACACGCACACACACACACGCACGCACGCACACACACACACACACACATGCGCACACACACACACACACACACACACACACACGCCCAGCCCGCTCGCTCTTGCGCTCTTTGCAACTTCTCTGCTACTCTGAAGACCAAGTCCAGGTCCAGGTCCAGCTAAACACTGAGCAGGAGCTGAGAGTTGGAGGATCGTGTTTCAAACTGCACTTCAAACAGCTGTGCACTGCAAAACGTGCTCATTGTAGCCATTACTCCTGACTTCCTTATTTTGATTAATAAAAATAAATAAATAAATAACAAAAAAAAAAAAAACAGCACAAATTGTTTTATTCATTTTTGTTATGTAGGTCAAAATGTTGTATATAACACTCCTGACTTAAAATGCTGATCAATTTGAATTTGTTATTTTTTGATTGTATTTAATTTGATTGTTCAGCATCAAATGGTCAAAAATGTTTACAGTTTAAATAAGGATATATATATATATATGTATATATATATATATATATATATATATATATTAATTTCAGGCAGATGCAATTTAAGCCTTTTCTGTTACAGACTATAAAACAATGTTAATAATCTTTGTTGTAAGTTGATCTATATTTCTATCTTTATTTAATTTAATGTTAATAAGGATACCATGTTATGTAGAGGTGTACTAATAGCAATTTTATAGACAAATTATACTATTTACAGTCGCGGCGGAGAGTTGGGGGTGGGCGCGAAATGTTTACTTCTTCCTAGGGGGGTTGTAACAGAAAATAATTGAGAAGCACTGCTTTAACCACACATATAGTAGAGGAAAGGCTCGCCTCTGCACTGACAGACACACACGTGTCAACAGTCGCCACCAGTTTGTTTACTGCTTCATCCACGCCCATGAAGGGCCCCGCGAGCAGCACACCATCATCCATTATTCACCGCCTCCGTTACATAAAGCAGGCACACAGACGAAATGATATGAGGTGAGTTAATTTTGTCTTAATAAAGTCGCATCCGAGATGAGAAGAGGGGGTGGTGGTAAGGGGGGGATGTTATGGGGGGTGGGGAAGAGTTTGTGTGAAGTGAGACACACCAAGTGCCACATGTGATAGAATAACCAGGTGGTTGTCAGCTAAAGAAACAACTGCTCGTGGTGCGAGGACGAGCGAGTGGGGATTTGACCGAGAGAGAGAGAGAGAGAGAGAGAGAGTGTGTGTGCATGCGTGTGGTGGGGATATCTATAAACAGGCTCATGAAGGCGTTGGGTCTCATCGGGGCTTTTCAAACTTCACTGTTAACTCTGATGAATCAAGCTGCTCTCGGGAGCACGTGTGCACGCGGGTGTGAAGCGTGTTTGTCAAAACCTCACGTTCTTGTTTACTTGAGATAAACCAGAGGACCAAAGCAGCCCCAGCAAACACACACAAACATGGCATGCATCTTTTATTGGACTTAGCAGATCTGCTTTCAACGCAGCTCTGCTACATGATATGTGCTCGGCTGATCTAACGTTTAGCTTCAGCTTAGAACGAACAGCCGAAGTCTGAAGACTTGTTTGGACTAAAACTGCCACTCCAGAGGACAAACAGCTGAGAATCAGGTCTGTTTACAAACCATTACCATCACCCACACATCCAAGCACTGATCCATACAGAACATAAAAATGACCAAGCTGTACGAAACTAAAATAGCTAAATGTAGAAGTACTTACTGCCCATCACCTCCTGACACCGCTTGATCCAGACTTCAAATGACTTGTCAGACGCTGCAGAAACACAACGAACACTTGATTTTATTTAGTTTGAACTGATCACAATAAGCACATTATTTAATCAACTGAAGCATTTTGAGCCAGAACATATGGAACCATGGGTCAATCAAACAAGAAGTACTTTGAATAAATAAAAAAGTACTGTTACGCATAAATTATATACCAGTTTGAGTTATCGGCTGCCATCAGAAGCAGTGACTGTGTGTGTTATTTTGTCTGTCTGTTAGCAAAATATCTCATAAACCATTAGACAGAGTTATTGAAACCTTTAGGGAGTAATCATTGAATGTAAATCTACAACTGATTCTGAATTCAAAATGGCTGCCACAGCTAATTAACATGAGCCTACACAACAATGACAATGCCTCAGTGAATTGTACAGATGTTGTGTTTAAATTAGGCATTGTAGTAGCCGAGTCATCCATGACGCACACAACAAGCACCACAACAGTTCATGTGAGACATTAAATGAGTTCATGCATCATATTTAAGGTTTGACCACAACTGCTGACATTTCTCACTTTAAGCTCAGCTCTGACATGACAGAACTCAGCACCCATTTCTTCAAGTTTCCTTTAAATATTTTAGCATAAAAATTATTTTTAAAAACAAACTGGGCCAGGGGTTGTAACTAATCTCACTACAGTGAGCTGAAACCCAGCTGGTCAAAGCAGATGGCCAAACATGTTGCAGAGGGGCGTTAGTGCACAGGCGCAAGATGTAGATGTGTTGATTTTTGTTCGAGGGGGAGATGGAGACTCGTCCTAAGCTGCGCAGCACGCTGTTTAAACCAACAGTTCTATTTCATATAGGCTTCGCCCTTTAAGACTGACGCTGGTGGGTTTCATCACGTCACGCGAAGCGTAGCACTGAAAACTTTAGTCCACGCCCACCTGTTGTGTGGGCCTCACCGGTCCGTAAAAATTGCGTTGAGAGCGCTCCCCATTTTTCTTCAGCAAGCAACCAGCACTGATTTTCAAAACAAGAACGCGATGTCCAGCACCAACACCATCCGCCTGTGCCCGTCCTGCAAGACCAGCTACATGCTGAGCTTCTACCGGCACGACATCTGTGAAGGATGCCTGGGTCCCCGCCACACCTACCTCGCCTCCTCCTGCCGTGTCTGTGACCTTCTCCCTCCTGAGAAGAGGCAGAGGCAAGCAGCCTTGTTCAAGGCTAACATCGAGGAGTGCCTCTCTGTGTCGGGGGATTGTTCACCGGACGACGCCATCGCATTTTGTGACGCCGAGTCACAAAGCGAATCGGATGATTCCTCCAGGAAAGGCGACGTCAGCAGCAGCCCTGCTGCTCATTCCCTCCTGGAGAGCGTAGTGTTGGAACGAGGGGGGGTCGAGCGGATGCTCCCCCCGGCCTTTCCGCATCAGCGAACACACCGCTCCCAGCCGTCGGTGCCCTCCTCTCAGAGCTGCCCGGCATAATCCAGGAGGCGGCTGACAAGAAGGGACTTTCCGTCCCTCTCCTCCCCCCACCCAGATCGGATGATCTTTTTTTTTTTTTTTTTTATTTTATTTTTTTTGAGCTCAGTTTAAGTGTAGAAACATTGTGAAGTGTTTCAATGAACTTATCGTCATCGCTCAATTTTATTTATTTTTTTTAAAGAGAGAAGAAAGAAGAATAATTAAATAATAAAAGAGAAATAGATAAGACGAGAGACCACCACGACAAAACAACATGCACAGCACAATGCCACCCACAATATCACCATGAAACATTCGACATTGCACAAGGAATCATCTAGCTTCCACCACTACCCAACCTAGCGTGCATCTGTCACAGCACCTGAATCCAAACACCCGCGCAAGCACGCCTGCCACCACCAGATTTCTCCAAAAGAATGCCCAATAGTGGACGCGGGGGCCCACAGACCCGTCCCCCAGGACACAATGGCAACATAGGGAGGACCGGAGCCACAGACACACAGCGGCCCACAGGCCCGGAGCCCCAGGAGTCTCCCAACAGGGAGAACCGCACCCCCCCAGAGAGGAGCAGAGGAAAGAACCGGGTGACCCCAGCCACCACAATGCAGAGCTTCCAGGAAGCTGCAGCGACGAGCCCACAGGTCCGGCCGGCGACCCATGCCCCCCCAAGTAGATCCGGCCATGGACACCGAGCCCCAAGCCCCGAGGCCATACCACCCCCCGGCAGAGCCCCGACAGAGCCAGGGCACCCAGGCCCCGCCAGGCAGCAACCAGGGCAGACCGACGTGCACCCCACCACCCAGCCCAGACACCGAGAGCCACCAATGCACCGGCGGCAAGGGGGTCCCCCGCCAAAGGGGGGCACGACCGGGGGGAGTGGGCCCCACACCAAATGTGGGGCCCAAATTGATCCAAGAGAGGGGTACCACCAAAAACCCAACCTGAGCAACCAACAGGCACACACAGATAGCATGCACCATCTACCTGACAGCGACCACAGGCTGGCCCCAGCCCAAAGGGCAGAGCAGCAGGGAGCCGCAGCTGAGGAGGGCCGGCCCCCACATCAAGAGCCCCGCACCATAGGCCCGGAGACGCCCCAGCACGCCACCTATGCACCCCCCCCCCACACACACAGCACCCCCACCGCAAATGCCACACAGGAAGACCAGCCAGTGCCCCGATGAGGCGAAGCCACGCCCCCAACCGCCGCCCTACACCACCAATGACCACACGTACACTACCATAGCCGACCCCCCGCCGAAAGCCGGCAGCCACCCCGGTCAAAGTGCCGGCCATCGCAACCAGGAACCTAGATTAAAAGAATCGGAACAGCCCAGGAGGAACCGAAGCACCGGCCCCACCACTGACCGCCCCCAAGACCCAAAGCCCACCCACAGCCCAGACCCCAACAATGTGCCCCCCTCCCCCTCCATCCCAGACCCCTAGTGTCACACAGAGAAAGGAGGTGTTTGTGATAAAAATAAAAAAAAAAAAAAAAATCTATATATGCATAAATAAATTATGAACAGACCCACTTCCTCCTCCTCCCACTCGAATATGGTGTTGATGCATGTTGTTATACAGTGCGTTTAAAATGGGGGGATGAGGTGGCGATCGGCACAGACCCACCTCTTGCCCAGAGAGCAGGCGGTGCCCGTTCACCCCTCATCTCCGCCCCGAACCCTAAATGTCTACATGCTACATATGAGAGTGGGCACAGGTCCGGGGAGGTGGAAATGGTAGTACATCCCACCACCTAAGTGCGATCATGTGCCCACTCCAGATCCTATATATGCATGTGTCGTGAGAGTGTTATAAGTGAGTGTCTAGGTTGTATATTAAAATTAGGGCCCAGGACCCCACCAGCCACGGAGATGGATGATTCTCCCTGTAGCTCAGTAGTGCACCTGAACCCCAAAACCCTGTTTGAGTGGTGGTGTGGTGGAGTGGGCGGAGGAGGACGTTGGGATGGGGAGGTGAACTGAGGTGGCAATGCCCCCCCAGGGGACCAGCTCCCCCGCTGACCCCAATAGGCACCCCCACTCTCCGAGATCCACCAGGGGACAGAGGGTCTAACAGAGATACCCAGGAGGAGGTGGCAGCCGCAGCCAGCCACGGACCGGCACATAGCCCCCGAGGACCAACCAGAACCAGGGCCAGCAACCCAGACCCATCCCGAAACCGTCCAGACACCCCAACCCGATTCCCAGCCCAACACCCAGCCCCCCAACCAGACAGGCCACCAAACCCCAACTGGGATAATCAGCCAGGAGTGTCCAAAATGTCACAGATAGAGCACCACAGCGACCAAGAGCGCCCCCCCACCCCAAAAAAGCAAAAGACCAGTCCACCCATAACACCCACAGCGAGAGCGCCCTATGCAAGTGTGGGCACACACCCAGCGAGCCCAGACTCCCCCGGTCCCACAGCACAGAGCCCCCCACACGAGAGCCCCCACCCCACCCCAGCCACAGTCCCCCACAGCCCAGCCCCCCAGCCAAGCACCACGCCGCGGCCACCGCCAGGCAAGAAGACGCCCAGGCTGAGCCCGCCCGTCCCCTCCCTCAGGCCCCCCCCCCCATCAACAGTCCCACCCCCCCACGGCACAGGCCCCAAAGCCCACCAACGCACCGAAGGCCCCAAGGCCAGGGCCGGGCACCGGCGCACCCGCCGGCCCAAGACCCCGGCAACATACCTGTCAAGGCCCGAGACCCCCGGACCAAGCCGGGAACCCCGCCCAGGAGCGATACCACCCCAGAACCCGTGCCCGCGTCCACCCCAGACCCACCCAGGGACAGCCAGGTCACCAGGCCAGTAACCCATGTCCGCCGGTACAGACCGCCCAGAAGCCCGCATGCAGCCAGCATAGGCCATCACCCAGAACCACCAGAGCCACCTCCCCAGTCGGGCGCCACCGCTCCAGGCCCATGACCCCCCCCACGTCCCCAGCCCCAAGACCCCACCCACACCCACCACCATGCCCCACGGGACAGAATCAAAGGGGGACCACCCACCTCCACTACGTGTTGGAGCCGATTAAAGAAGTCCAGAGAGAATAGTCCGATGTGGGGGTACAGGCTGTCTCAAGACTTATGTAATCTAACAGAAGGTCTTTATACTGTTTAATACTAAGTGTATTTTTATTTTTCCAATTCATGAGTATAGTTTTTTTTGCTATACATAGGGCAGTGAGAATAATATGAATTGATTTTGTCTCCAAGGTGACATCATCTAAGTGGCCCAATAAGCAAACTGACGGAGAGAGTGGAATATTACATCTCAGACACTTTGATAAGTCTTCACATATCCGGCACCAAAACCTCTGAACAGGTGGACAGAACCAAAATGCGTGGATGTAATTGTCAGGAATATTGTTTGTACACTGTGAGCAAATATTAGATGATGCGAAACCCATCCTGAACATCCGTTGACCTGTATAGTGTACTCTATGAAGGATTTTGTATTGTATTAGTTGTAAATTCGAGTTTTTAGTCATTTTAAAAGTTCTCAGACAGATCTGCGACCAAAAGTTTTGGTCAAAATTAACTGACAAGT